CTGTGGATGAGTTTACTAAGGATAAAGACAAATAATTAATTAATCAAAACTGACATTAATTTTGAAAAATGCTATAAGAGAATATTTAAAGAAAAAGAATAATAAATCAAACTTTAAAGATAAACTTGATAGTTTATATTTTCCTGCCTATGGATTAGCAAGCATTCATAACCAAGGCTTAATTCACCGTGATTTACATAGTGGGAATATATTAAATTCTGGCATTTGAAGTCGTATCACTGACTTGGGTTTATCACAACCTATTAATAATCAAAAAGAAAAAGGTAAAATTTTTGGTGTTCTTCCTTATGTAGCTCCCGAAGTTTTACGAGATCACCCTTACACTCAAGAAGCTGATGTTTATAGTTTTGGAATGGTGGCTTATGAATTATTTGCTAATGCTTATCCCTATCCTGGGGCAGATGATTTACATTTAGCCATAAAAATCTGTCAAGGACTAAGACCTAACATTGATGAAGTTCCAATACCTAAACTGTTAAAAGATTTAATTAAAAAATGTTGAGATGCTGATCCAACCAAAAGACTAAGTGCCTGAGAATTGAAAGTAACTGTTAATAATTGGAGAAATGAAATTAAATACAAAAACAATACCCAATTCTACCAACAATATAAGGAAATAGAAGAAGAATACAATCACTGATCCCAAAGTTTTCCTTATCAAATACATCTAACTGCTACTGTTATTAGTAAACCAATAAAAACCAAAGAAATCGCTAAGTTATTCCAAAATTCTAAAAAGCAGGCCTTAGGGAGAGAAATAAAGAAAATTGAAAAAGAAATAAATCAATCGCTTACTGATGAATTAAAAGAATTAGTGAGTGATTTTATTCAGGCTAGAAAACAAATGGTAAAAAACGAAAACTATGAGGAGGCAAAAGGTAAAGCACTAGAATTAGAAGACCAGTTATTGGATGAGAAAGGCCTTGAAGAAGAAAATATAGAAAAAATTATTAGTTACTGCAAAAGATTAATTGCAAAACAACAAGAATTACAAGCCAAAATCGAAATTAATACTGACAAATAAAATCATTCAAAAAATGCTATGGTAAAAAGTCAAATTGAGTTTAACGAAAAATATCCTAAAGAAGAAAAAATAATAAGAGTTAGAGATGAGAATAATTTTAAAGGACAATTAGTTATTGAAGAATATTCAAAATTAGAAAAGTTATACTTACGAAGCATTAAGAGTGTGGATAAAATAATTCTCAAAAACTTAATTCAACTGCAAGAATGTACCATTTTAGACTGTGATACAAAAGAGTTAATTGTTGAAAATTGTTCGCAGATAAAGAAATTAAATATTGAGAACAACATTTTAACTAATTTAGGTTTTATAAAGGATTTAGAAAGTTTAGAAGAACTGAAAATGAATGGTAATACTGAACTGATTGAGATTTTAGCACCCTACTATGGCGAAAATGGTCTAGATTGAAAGACTTACCGGAAAGTTATTCAAGGATCAAACGAAAATATTCAACAGTTACTAATAAACATTCGGGATTTAAAAGAAAAAAATAAGTGGTTAGAAGAAAATCAACCATTAACTATCGATAATCCAATAGACTTTGAAAAAAAATACCAAAAACTCAAAGAGACTTTAAATTCCCTTTTAGAGAAGGAACAAATAAAAACTGAAGAATTAATTAAGTTAGAAAAACAAACTAAGGAAATAAACTTAGAAGAAAAAGAAGAACAAAATGATATTGTCACTAGTGATTTATTTAAAAAACTAAAAGAAGACAAAAATAATTTATCTAAACTAAGAAAAACAAATCAGGAATTAGAAAAAAAACTTTCTTTTTTTGAACAAACCCGCCGAGCAAAAAAACAAGAAATTGAGCAAAAAGAAAAAGAATTAGAAGAATTAAAAACTACTGTCGGAGATAAATTAGATGATAAGGAGAAGGAAGTTCTTAAAAAATTATTAGAAATTCAAGACGACTTTATAAAAAGTAACAGTTCATTAGTTTGTAAGAAATTAGAAAAAAATAAAAGTAAACTAAGCAATAAATTGACTAGCGAAGAAATTTGACTTTTTTGTCAAAAACAAGCAGAAATCACCCAATTAAATCTAGAAACACAAAAGAGTCTTAATCAAACTAGCCAATTTTTCAATATTAAAATAAAAGACAGTTCTGGTATTAATTTCGGCAATGTTTATGGTTCTCATGCTTCGGGGGTTAATGTTAACAATATTGGTAAAGAAAATATTGCTCAGATGGAGGTTAGGAAATAAATTATGTCAGAGAATAAAAATAAGGAGAAAAAAGATAAAGTAAGAATAAATGTAGGAGGAATACACGGAAGTCAGGGAATTAATTTTGGTGATATACATGGTACTTATGCTTCCGGAGTTACTGTTTACAATACAAGTAGCAAGAAAATTTGTAAAATTTGTCAAGAAAAAGTCGGATTAAATCATCCCAATAATTGTCAGTGTGAGAAATGAGACACTCTGTGTGAGTATTGTCAAGATGACAGCACAGATAAGGAAGATTGTTGTTGTCGCAGAAAAGGGTCTGGTCAAAAAGAAAAAACTAAGCCTAGCATTCATTCAGAAAAAAAAAGGGGGTCGCTACTAGCCTTAGCCAAGAAGAAAAAGAATTAGCAGAGAAACCAATTAAAAGCGAAAAAGGAAAAAAAACTGAATTTCCTCTAATTCAAGAACAACAAACAGAAAAAACAGAAGAAAACAAGCAAATTTTTCCTTATACTATTCAAAATATTACTTTGTCAAGCCACACGGTTGGTAGAAGTTCCACCCTAGCAAGTACCAACAAAGAAGAAGAATTATTAAAGTTATTAATCAAAAAAGAACTAAAAGAAGAAAAAATATTTTTTTTTAATACTTGGTTCAACGAAAATTGTGTATTAGTCATTGATAAAAAGAAAAAGAGGTTGACTGGAAATTCTGCATACCGAGTATGAGTAGCAATTTATGAGCCTACTTTTGGAAAAAATGAATCAATATTTAAATTAATAAAAGTAGTAAAGAAAATTACTAAAGTTAAAGAAGAATGAGGGGAAACAATAGAATATTTTAAAAAAGCACTGAACAGCGAACATCCAGCAGCAAAACTGTACAATAATTTTTATACTCTCGACCTACCGGCTCTCTCACGAGATTATAAAAATGTAATAAAATTTACTAAAAATTTATCTCTTAACAACAATCCTGACGATTATCTTAAACCTTATGATATTGTTAAAGTAAATAGAAAAGGCGGGACTTATCAGCATGCTGCGATTTATTTAGGAAATGGTAAAGTAGCTCATATTTATTATCCAGAAGAAAGTAATAATAGAGAAGATTTGAGAGCTAGGATTGATAGTTGAGAAACCTTTTTAAATGGAGCAAAAGAAATAGAAATTCATCACCCTTTTATTCCTTTCAAAAAACCTGAGTTAATTCAAAAACATATTGAGATAGCAATAAAGGCTGAATATGGTAAGGGCAAATATAAATCGTTATCTAACAATTGCGAACACTTTGCTACTTTGTGTGTCTATGGTTTAGGTATTTGTCGACAAAAGAATATTAATACTATTAGCAAAGCGACAAAGAGTTCTGATTATTTACTACAAGCCATCCAAGAAACTAATCAATTTTTTGAACAACTAGAAAAAGATCAATTACAGCAGGAAGCTTGGGTAGAGATTCCTTCGAAGTAAAAATAAAAAGTTCCTTACCATTCACTTTTTTTAAAATTAATAATATAAATAGTAAAGTAATTTACCCTATAATAATTCCTTATGTATAAAGATAATATCTTGTAGAAAAAATTCTTTTCAAGGCACTGTTCCCTTAGTCCATAGTTCTTTTCTCCACTACTTCCCCCATTGGGAAACTG